AATGTGCTATGTGCCACAGCTGCCCATGTAAGATTTGAAATAAATATTTTAAAAATGTGTCTGGTAATTCTTAAAGTTAGTAAAAACGATGAACTTACATAGAGATTTAAGAGTTTTCAGCTCTGATAGTACAGTAAGATCCTGTATACAGTGACATAACTTCCCAACAGTGTACCTGTCCCTATTTCTTCTGTCACGTCTAACAATATTTTGCGCAGGAAAGATGTGAAATCATAATCTCATATACAGGATCTTCCATAAAATATTAGAAGCACCCTAATCTGCAATCATGGGCCTGGTTACCATTTCATCCATTTATTTTGTGTGTTTTTTTCTGTTTGTTTCATTCGGATGGCACAAAACAGTACAAAAATAATAGTGAAATGAAAAGGGGCTTTGAGGTATCTCTTTGCTCGCTGCTCAGATTCTTTTTCTTCTCTTTCCTTTACTTTTAAAATCTTTGGGTGGCTCACAGAGCCTTAGTCAAGGTCACCCTAATTTTGTTTTCTTCTCCCTTCCTCTCCTATCCCTAAGAAGCCTTGTGAAAGATATTAATTACAATTATATTACTGTAATAGCAATTCAACCAAAAGGAAAACTCTTCAGAATCGCTCTCTTTACCTCCCTCTCTAGTACTATATTTGCATTCCTTACATCTACTTCTGATATATTTCTCTCTGTGGGTATTCTGCCTTCTGAATTTTATTTTTTGAAATAATTATTTCTCAAATGAAACTAATTGTTGGCCTTCAGTAGAATAATTTCTCCACCTTTGAAATCCACTATCTCTCTATCAAACCTTCAATCTCTATCTCAAAACTTCAATCACTTTCTATCTCTGCACCTGGCAGATATGTCCTCCGTGTGTGGCGATTTTCAGCCCTAAAACTTGAGGAAAGGGGAAGCAAAAAAATGTCATTATTTCAGATGCGGAACAAAAACGCCCATTCGGAAAGGCACCCGTTTTCAGAAGCGGTGCTCAAAAACGAAACAGGGCCATATGAATGAAACAAATAGAAATGGATAGCGATTCTATACAAATGCATAATGCATAATACAACTAATCTGGGTCCACATCTTAACCTTTTCAAGTCTGGTCTTGACTACATTTGAAAGGGAGGGGCACTATTGTTTCCTCCACAACAGTGGAATACCTATATTGAGCCCCTATATGTATTATGCCTTTCCTGAGTTTTCTCTAAATCAGAGCTTTCAAAACTGTGGATCCCGACCCAGATGGGGTCCCCTTAGCTCAATGTTGGGATTGTGAAAGGCTTCCCATGCCTTGCAAAGTAGGATCTGTAGCGGCTGTTGCTGTTATCAAAAGGGGCAGGGGGCGGAGAAAAAGCCCAGATTTAACTACTAAGGAAAGAGAAACGGTCCCACCCTAGGCAAATGACCACATGGATGGATGACAGAAAGAAGCTACCTGGCAACAGAGGGGGAAAGGAAAAGGAAGAGGGGTGAAGAAAGGCAAATCATTGAAGGATGAACCATAATGACGGACCAGTTAAGCGAGACAAATTATCCAAACTGTTAAAAGGAAACCAAGTACATATTGCATTAATTCAGGAATCACACAAAAAAATGGGGGACAAATCCAAACTGCTCAACAATAAAAATTGGGATATACAGTACGAATCGAGGGGCTCAAATAAAGCCAGAGGGGTGGACATACTAATAAAGGACAATCTAAACTTTGTGCTGGAAAAGGTCATTAAAGATACCTAAGGTAGATTTATAATGATAATAGGTAAAATTAATAATACTCAGGTATCAATAGCAAGTGTCTATGCCCCAAATCAGAAACAAGTAAAATTTATAAACAAAACTTGCTCAAAAATAGAAAAACATGCAATAGGAGATATAATAGTCGGTGGGGACCTAAACTTACTACTGTACAAAAAAACGAGCAACAGAACTGGAAATTTAGTTACAAATTGTAAGGTAAATTTTAGTAAATGGAACCTAATAGAGGTCAATAATAGAATAGGGGAAAGACCAGATACTCCAACACACTACTCACACAGGCACTCAACATTTTCTACCATAGACTATTTCCTGGTAGGTATCAACAACACAATGCCAATAAAAGAACTTTTGGTGGGCAATCATTGGCCAGGAGACCACGCACCTCTCTACTTAAAATTAGAAAATTATACCATAAACAAAGTGAAAAAATGGGAGATTTAACCCAAAAGTTGCTTATAAGGAGACAAACGGGAAAGAGATAAATGAACAAATTGTCCAATATTTTAACTTAAACAGAACCCCTGGAATGAAAGAAAGCATAATCTTGGATTAGTAATTACAGAAAAATGTATAACAATCGAGAAGGGAATAAATAAAAGGGAAAATGAAACATTAAGAAAATTGAGGTCTGAAGAAGAAGAAGCATTCCAATCATTTCAAAAAAGCCCAAACCGTGGGGAAAAAAGGAGAAATGGAAAGAGTTAAAAAAGCAACTAGAAAACCTGGAGGAAATTGAAAGTACAAAGAAATATATCTGGGTCAAGAATGACTTTCAGACAAATTCCATAAATAACACAAAAGAAATTAGCAAATCTAAAAAAGAAACAAGGGAAAACAAAAATCTTTAAATTGAAAGATGAGATGGGCCAAATAAATACAAGCGAGGAAGACCGAAAGGAAATAATGGCCAATTATTACGAAAAGCTTTACACGAGTAAGGATACAGTGAGATTGGAAGGTCTCCTTCAAAAAAATAAATAAATAAAAATTAGACCCTCTATCCCAAGCAACACTGGACAGGAACATAACTAGCGATGAAATAGAGGAGGTAATAAAAAACTTAAAAATAAATTCTTCACCAGGCCCCATTGGGCTTACTACAAATTTCTATAAAAAATTTTCAAAAGGAAGTCATCCCTAACTTACTAAAACTATATAATGAAATCATGGAAAATAAATTAATTCCAGAGACATGGAAAAAATCTGAAATTATAACAATTTTAAAACCAAACAAAGAGGGGACTGACCCTAACTCCTATAGGCCTATTACTTTATGCAGCGTGGACTACAAAATATTCACAAAAATAATAGCAAATAGGTTGAAAGAGTTAATTACCACTCTAATTGAGGAAGATCAGTATGGCTTTATTATAAAAGGAAAGATAGCGGACCCAATTAGAAACATCGTAAATATAATCAACCATGCAACTAGGGAGAAAACAAAATTACTTTTAATAAAATTAGACGTTTACAAAGCATTTGATACAATAAAATCATAATTATTTGGCTAACCTATGCGAGGAGAGTAACTTAGGAAAAAAGATGTGTGGAGTAATTAATGAACTGTATAAAGATAATCAAGCTGTAGTAATAGTAAATGGATCCAATTCTAGAACTATTAAAATCAAAAGCGGAACCAAACAAAATTCTGGTATTTTGAATGTTAATTTCAAATTTGGTATGTTTCTATGTATTATACAATTAAAAAAACTTTTTAAAAAACCATTGAAGGGTGAAGGTATGTAAGGGAGAAGGAACCCCACCAGCTCCTCCAGGCATTTACTGCACTTCTTTCTCTCTAACTGTACTCTTGATTTTTATTTTTCTGAACCTTAATCTTCCTGCACAATTGACTTGCAATAGGATGGTCCCTCTGCACCCACAAACCATTCACAGCTTTAATATATGTATATGTAAATAATATTGAACTTTGACTTTGCCATTTTAAGGCACATCCTTTCACCACACCCTTTTCACCACACCGCTTAGAGTCGCCTTGTTGGCTGATATAGGCGGTATACAAAAGGAGTAAATAAATAAATAAATAAATAAATATCATGGGATTTTGGTATCCACTATGGGTCCTGGAACCAAACCCTGGCAGATACTGAGGGCCACTGTATTTTACTTAAGGGATTTTATTTTATGTACTTGGAAGTTACACATGGCCTAATTATTATTGCTGTGGTACAATTGGTTCTCCCTATCCACAGACTTAACCATTTGACATTCAAAAAAGTTTGACCCGTTTACCTATTTTATATACCTCTATACCTCTATACAGGGAAATGGACAGGGGGAGTGTGTCCCTGTTGGTTTTGCTGGATCTCTCAGCGGCCTTCGATACCGTCGATCATGGTATCCTTCTGGGGCGCCTCAAGGATATGGGGCTCGGGGGCACTGCCTTGCAGTGGCTCCGATCCTTTCTTGAGGGATGGTCCCAGAAGGTGTTATTGGTGACACCTGTTCGGCCCCACAACCGTTGTTGTGTGGAGTCCCACAGGGTTCAATCTTGTCCCCGATGTTATTTAACATCTACATGAAGCCGCTGGGGGAGATCATTCGGAGTTTCGGAATGAGATGTTATCTCTACGCAGATGATGTCCAAATCTGTCACTCCTTTCCACCTTTCACCAAGGAGGCTGTCCAGGCCTTGAATCGGTGCTTGGCTGTGTCGGACTGGATGAGAGCTAACAAATTGAAATTGAATCCAGACAAGACAGAGGTCCTACTGGTCAGTCGTAAGGCCGAACAGGGTATAGGGTTACAGCCTGTGTTAGATGGGGTTACACTCCCCCTGAAGACGCAGGTTCGCAGCTTGGGAGTGATCCTGGACTCATCGCTGAGCCTGGAACCCCAGGTCTCGGCGGTGGCCGGGAGAGCTTTTGCACAATTAAAACTTGTGCGCCAGCTGCGCCCGTACCTTGGGAAGTCGGATCTGGCCACGGTGGTCCACGCTCTTGTCACATCCCGGTTAGATTACTGCAACGCACTCTACGTGGGGTTGCCTTTGAAGACTGCTCGGAAACTCCAACTAGTCCAGCGGGAGGCAGCCAGATTGCTCACCGGAGCGTCATACAGGGAGCATACCACCCCCCTGTTGTGTCAGCTCCACTGGCTGCCGATCCAAGTTCCGAGCACAATTCAAGGTGCTGGTTTTGACCTATAAAACCCTACACGGTTCCGGCCCAGTGTATCTGTCCGAACGGATCTCCCTCTATGTCCCACCCCGGAGCCTAAGATCTTCTGGAGAGGTCCTGCTCTCGACCCCGCCTCTATCACAGGTGAGATTGGCGGGGACGAGA